TAAAAAGGGAAAAAAAAACACCAACTGAAAACACGTGGAGCTATCCACTGTGACAACCCTTTGTGAAAGTAATCACTGTCATGCTTCACTTTTGTCTCCAAGCACTGTGGGCACACAGGTCTTTCGTTAGGGGTTAAAAAGCTGTAATGTCAAGTGTCATACTGGTGGATTGGGTGAACTTATGAATCAAAATGGCAATACCTGTATTTGTTTAGCATGTCTTTTAAGGCATCCAAGATGATGGTATGTTCTTTCTCCTCTCAGTATGCCAGTGTAGAGGGCAAGGATGGAGAGAGGTTCATGACCCCAGGAGACTTTGTCCAGAGGTATCTAGGACTACATACACAGATTCACCACAACCCCAAAACTGTTCAGCTCATTGCTGCTGTGGCTGACACCACAAAGGACGGGTATGTACTGGCAAAAACACTGCATACACAAGCTCTCAGTTTATCAGCACTAATTGACAATTTATTGAGACATGTCTGATTGCTATTACAGCTACTTTAGATAAGATAAAGTACACAGTGAAAAAAACCCTCTGAAAAGTGTATCGCTTTATTCAGAAATGAAAGATGGTGTTTCTGTCAGTCATCGGCTTGCTTTCTAATTCATACAGAAACATAGTGACTGTGTTTGTTTGTTTTTGTTTGTTTGTTTGTTTGTTTGTTTAATAGGGGTGATAAAACTGAGGAAATGTATTGTTCCTTGAACTAGTATTGTGTGAGCTCGCCTTTGCTTCATTCCAGAGTCTTTAATCTCTTAATGATGCCTTTAAAGGTTTAACCTTCTCTTTTCCTCTCTCTCTAAAACCCACACACCTTTGCAGGCTGATTTCATTCCAGGAGTTTCTTGCATTTGAATCTGTGTTGTGTGCACCGGACGCTCTCTTCATAGTAGCTTTTCAACTGTTTGACAAGTCTGGAACTGGAGACATTTCCTTTGGTATGTGTGCATTTATACCTTATTACACTTAATATGTGTAAAGCCTGAGCTTCATGCAGTTTCAGAATGTTTCAGCATGGAGTTTATTGCGCTGCACTGAATTCATTCCTGTTTGTCAGCAAAGAAATTTTCATGCTTTGCTGCAGCGGAGAAGTAATTTCCCAACATGACATTGTTAATCAGATTATTCCTTAGGCTTAAGCATTACACATGGATGAGTTTATGTAATTGTTCCCATGCTGTCTCCCTTCTTTCCAATGCCACACACGCAAAACTCTGTTGTAGAAATGAAATGCTTTAACCTCAAAGCTTAAGAAAGTCCTGCTAAGATTTTTTTTTTCCTAATGTGTATCTGTGCTGCAGAAAATGTGCAGGACATCTTCAGCCAGACCACAGTGCACCACCATATTCCTTTCAACTGGAACTGTGAGTTCATCCGTCTACACTTTGGACACGACCGCAAGAAACACCTCAACTACCTTGAGTTCACCCAGTTCCTGCAGGTATATTGGGTGCCTTTTATGCTTTCATTTCTTTGTTTCACTTTTCCTTTCTCGACATGTTGTGTGACTTTGACTATATTTACGTTATTTACACACTGTCTTGCGATGTCTTTTTTTAGGAGCTGCAGTTGGAGCATGCACGCCAGGCATTTGCCCAAAAGGACAAAGGCAAGAATGGTGTCATCTCTGCCCTGGACTTCAGTGACATTATGGCCACTATCAGACACCACATGCTCACCCCTTTTGTGGAGGAGAACCTTGTCTCGGTGAGTGTTTTGGCTCTTCAGAGAGAGGTGACTGGTATTGTAACCTGAGTTTGAAATGGGATTAACGTGATCTAAATCAAAAGCTTAATCTTTGCTGAAGTTTTGATCACTCACAAGTAGAAGTGTAACCTGCTGTGAGGTACTGAAATTTACAACCTCGGCAGAGGTGAATCCTGTTTAGCTTCTCATCTGGGGTTATTAGCATTAAAGGATAATATGGTTATTTTGAACATGACCCTGATGTTTTTAAATGATCTTTTAAGCGTCACACTCAGGCTGAGTGTTCTCTTAGTGATCGGTGCTTTCAGACCTTCCCACTTTGAAGCATAACCTTTTTGGCCTAAAAGCATCAGAAGTTCCAAATTTTTACAATATGTCAGTTATTTTAAAGTTGATCCTGTGACCTCATCAAGAGATTATTTTTAAAAGAAAAAACTTGCTGATGAAGCCGTACCTGATGTGCATTGCCTTTTTTCTTTCTGCCAGGCTGCCGGAGGAAGTACCTCTCACATGGTCAGCTTCTCTTACTTCAATGCCTTCAATTCCCTCCTGAACAACATGGAGCTTATTCGCAAGATTTACAGCACACTGGCTGGCACGCGGAAGGACACGCTCGTGACCAAAGGTGCACATATCGTTACATTACTGTGACGTTGTGGCTTTCTGTTTCAAATAACATGTTTCATGGTTGACAGTCATAAATGCTGATGTTTAACTGAAGTGTTTCTTCCTGACCTCTCTGATCTTCAGAGGAGTTTGTTCATGCAGCCAACAAGTTTGGTCAGATCACTCCTATGGAAATTGACATCCTTTATCAGTTATCAGGCCTGCACTCTCCCTCTGGGTAAAGACACACTCATGCCCAAATTCTTACATTCAGTATGCATTTGACTGATATCTGCATACAATGCTGATAATGGGGAAATGACCATGTTTTTCAGGCGCCTGAACCTTGCTGACATTGACAGGATAGCTCCACTAGAGGAGGGGTGCCTGCCCTATCACCTGGCTGAAAGCCAGAAACAGGTAGGATGCTTGTAACAGGCTGGCTACACATCCTGTTATTAATAACTGACCTAAAACCAGAACAAGATTTTACTGTGTGTAAATATTTTCAAACCGCAGTGCAATGTTTAATTTAATACAGTATGAAAAACAATTTAGATGATATTATTTGTGTTTTTCATCAGGCCCACGGAGATACTTCAAGGTCTGTGTGGCTCCAAATTGCAGAGTCCGCCTACAGGTTCACCCTGGGCTCCATTGCTGGAGGTGATCTCAACAGTGCTCTCAAACAGACACATACCAAAAACCTGTTATCTCATTTAGTGGATTCTAATCAGTCTGACTTTGGGTGTGTTTTTTGTTGTTAATAGCCACGGGGGCAACAGCTGTGTACCCCATTGATTTGGTAAAGACTCGTATGCAGAATCAGAGGTCCACCGGATCCTTTGTTGGCGAGTTGATGTACAAGAACAGCTTTGACTGTGCTAAGAAGGTGCTGCGCTACGAGGGCTTCTTTGGCTTCTATAGAGGTAGGCCCACCTCCTGCCTGTTTTATCCTCCTGTCTCTACACAGAACGTCATACGTTTCTCAACTTCTGTTATTTTCTTATCTGCAACACCCAATTGATCTTGCTAAAAAATCAGTGTAAATACTTTTATGTATTTTTTCACAGTTCTGTTTGCCCAGTATTGCTAATGAAAGGAGAGTCTTGTAACCCAATCTCTCATAATACCCCACAGGTCTGGTTCCTCAGCTCATAGGTGTGGCACCAGAGAAGGCTATCAAACTTACAGTGAGTACTCATAAAAAGAAAAGGATGACCAAAACCAAACGGGGCCGCCGTCACCCTAACGGCAAAGAACAAGGAGCCACCCCCACACAACGAAAAGCAAACAACAGCAAGAGCTATTTGTATTTCCAAACCCAAACCCATTGGGATCGACGTCGACTGCGGTGGCGGTGGGGTTTGGTTGTGTGTTGGGTTTTTTAATCCAATTTTGGTTTCATCATGTTCTCTTCACATTGCTTCACTGTAGTTTGGAAACCTCTAGGTAGTTAAGAGGAAATCTTACTGAATGTTTTTCCATTTCCTGTGTCACACACAGGGTTAAAAAGCCTGGACTTCACTTTTGGTACATGTCTGTGTTTAATATTTAGAGCCGTCTTTCTATTTTTAGCTGTATTTGCAGCCAGTGTTAAAGTCCTTCTGTGCTAATATTTACATGTCCTTTTTTTCCCTTTTTATATTTTTTGAAAACGTCCGTTATTTTTGAGGCACTATGTCAAGATCAATCACAGTTACATCACTCAGTATTTCCTAATATGCTGGAGAGTACCTGAACTAAAGCAAGAGCTTAAAGGGTTCACAGCAGGGTTGTAGGAACTCAGATTATTGTTAGCAGTTGTAGTACAGAGAAACCAGATAATGGGGGACTTCCTCTGTAAGTGTTGAGATAAGGTTCTTGTAGTATAACAATACATTGGCTTAAGTAAACATCACTAAATACAAAAACGCTGCAAAAGCACACAAAACACAATGGAAATGGAAAAGTGTTTTCGTAACTCTTCCGTCACGTTACCGTCTCCCCAAAAACATTTCTGTTGTGTCTTTTTCTGTTTGTTGGTGTTTTCTTAAGTTGCTGTGGGTTTGACCTCTCAGGGTCACCATATCAAGATGCCTGTACAGCATTTCAACAGTAGGGGCAGTAGGGCATTATGTTGAGGCAGCTCCACAAAAGTAAGATTAAGCTAATTGAGTTCGTCTTTTTTTGTGTGTTTTTTGTCCCACAGGTGAATGACTTTGTAAGAGATAAGTTTACCGAAAAAGATGACACAATTCCTCTCTTCGCTGAGATCATGGCGGGTGGCTGTGTAAGTACTGAGTGCCAGACTTTCTCTCTTTTTTTCCTCTTTTTAATGAATGAATGAATGTGTGAATGAATCAAAGAGTACTCAGTAAGAAAATGTGGATAGTCACGTAAGAGTGTGTGCAGTAACATGCATGGAGCCCTCTCATTTGCTGCGTTAAGTTGCCTGCCGAGTCCGACTTGCGTTACTAACAGTGGATGCACTGCTAATTTGCTCTCAGAGTAAACCGAATGTCCAATGCAACATGTTCTTTTTCTGTTTTTGTTTTTGATAGCGTTGTTCATCTTTACACACATTGGCCCAGCACTCCTTACCGTCCGAGGAAATGGCAAAGTAATTGATCGATCAGGATGTAATTGTTACTTTTGATACTTTTTCATGAGAAAAAAAAAAAACTTGGTTCCCATCCCTGAGCTGCATACATGTGAGATGCAGGAGCAGATTTAAAATTGCAAGCGTGGAAAAGTCATCCGTTGCCTTCTTTCCTTGTGTATTTAGGCTGGAGCCTCTCAGGTGATCTTTACCAACCCTCTGGAGATTGTGAAGATCCGCCTGCAGGTTGCAGGTGAGATCACCACTGGACCTCGAGTCAGTGCACTGAGTGTGGTCCGTGACCTGGGCTTCTTCGGTCTCTATAAGGTAACATTCTTTGAAACGTATGAAACCCTCTCCAGGTTGTAAGACCAGTCTGTAATCATGAGAGTAGCAGTACAAACTGTATTCTTTCCTCCTTGGTGGGGAAATAAATTCTTTCACTTAAAGCTTCTCGTGTCTATGGACACTTGCCATCTTTACATCTGGTTTTCACTGTTGCATTTTTCTGTCTTTAATGTGTCTTTTTAGGGTGCTAAAGCTTGTTTTTTAAGGGACATCCCCTTCTCAGCCATCTATTTCCCTGTGTACGCCCACACAAAGACTCAACTAGCTGATGAACAAGGCAGGCTGGGACCTTTGCAGCTTCTCAGTGCTGGAGCAATCGCAGGTGATTATAATTCACAACATGAAGTCAGTCAGTGCTCCGTATTAGCATGCCATCTGATCTGTGCTACAATTTATAAAGGAAACCATGAGAGAAATATGCACATACTGTTTTTCACTTCCACTTAAAGCACAAAGACCACATTTTCCATTAGCTTCATGACTCCCTGTAACTGTTTTCCAGGTATTCCTGCTGCCTCCCTTGTGACACCTGCTGATGTCATTAAGACACGTCTACAAGTTGCGGCAAGGGCAGGGCAGACCACCTACTCTGGAGTCATCGATTGCTTCAAGAAGATTTTGAGAGAGGAAGGTTTCAGAGCTTTGTGGAAGGGAGCTGGAGGTGTGTGGCTGTGTATCACTGGACAAGTAGATGCGCTGTGTCTCTGATTGTTTTTTGTTTTTTTTCAGTTAAACTAACCTAAACTGTTTGGGGTTTTTTGTTTTGTTTTTCTTTTCTCCAGCTCGTATGTGCCGATCTTCTCCTCAGTTTGGAGTGACTCTGGTGACTTATGAACTCTTGCAACGGTGGTTCTACGTTGATTTTGGCGGACAGTAAGTTCTTTTTTTCTTTTAAATATGTGTCCAGCTAAGTCTTCTTCTTCTTCTGTTTTGTATCCATATAAGTATTTAAAAATATGTTTGGAAAATTGTCAGCGCTCCTGTGATGATAGAGAACAGTGTGCTGTAGCACAGTAACATTGCTATATTACAAAGCATTGTAACACATGTCAGTATAAAAGAGACTTACAGTGGTGCTACAAAGTATTTGGATACATTAGGTATAAATTATCAGAGGAGACGGCATTTATTTGAAATGAGGATATCACAAGCACAGTTGTGAAAGGAGGGTTCCAATATTTGAAAACATTTTGAGTCATGTTTCATGTCAATCTTGTAATTTGCTGCTCTTTAAAGGCCTTAAATCAACCACTTTCCTTTGTGGTCTAAGTTTTCTTTACTGCACTCTTTTACCCTATTTTATCTCTTTAGTGATGTTTTTGCCATGTTTTGCTCCCTTATGCAGTTACATTTTTTACAAATTCCCTCAGAAAAAACAAAGTGGCACTTAGTCAACCGCTTTGGGGTTGATTAAGGGAGGCCGTCTCATTTAAAAACAGACCTTTTGAAGTCCATTAAAGTAGTTATTATGGATGGTTCAACCATAAAAAATACATTTTGATGCCTACAAAGTTACTAAACAACTTTGGTTGTGAAATGACTCGTCATGTCCTCTCCTCTCTGCAGTCGTCCAGCTGGATCCGCACCCAAACCCAAGTCTCGAATCTCAGAGCTTCCTCCCATCAATGTGGACCACATTGGAGGTTATCACCTGGCTGCAGCTACCTTTGCTGGGGTGGAGAATAAATTTGGACTCCACCTTCCCAAATTCAAGTCGTCCGGTGTGGCTTCCATACATCACCCAGCTCAAGCACCGTAGAGGTCTCGATATCCATATCATTTCATCATCCCTCTCCACCATTACCAGGAGCCAGACACTCAGATAGACACACAAATGAAGCACACACTCCACAAAAAGAGGCCACTGTCTTAGGAACAAACACCACTGGCCCATTACTCTCTTCAGGGTAAAAGGTGTGCTTCAGTGGCCACTAGCCAGCCATAGAGGTGGAGAGCTGCCTGCAGCTGTACAACAGAGCAGACAGAGATGGGGACCAGAATCTCTGTGTTCAATCTTCAGTGGCTGTATGCTCCTGGCAGCTTCATCTTTTCTCTTCTCAAAACGGAGCCTTGGGCACTCGTCTATCTCTCATGATATGATTTTCATTTTGTTTTCTGTCTGATACTCAGTATGAGCAGGACTTCTCTTCTTGGACAGAGGGTATAGGAAATATTAGATTGATCTGCACGGTATGTGGGGCTTCACTGTCAACCTGTCCTCATTCAGGAGGTTTGATACTGTACATATTGTATAACTGTACTGATCAGATGTTACAAGAGAGCTCCATAACATTCAGTCAACATCACGGTTCAGTAACTGTAATGTTATGGCACTGTGGGGCTTTGGGCCCTCGCCTCTGAGAATCACTCTTACTGATGTACAGAACTTTTCAAGTGTTTTCTTGATTAAAAAGAAGAATCATGAACAGAGAATTAGTACTTAATAAATTAAGTGTATCTCATTTGAGTCATTGTATTTTAATGAAATAAATAATCCATATGGTTTTAATTTTACCAGTACGTCTCAAATTTTATTCCAATGGGAAAGTGCAACCATCCATTGTATCAGGAACAGAAATGGAGAAGAATACAGTACAAGTAGTGTAAGCAGAGCACTTGTCTTATTTTACATCAGGTGTGGTTGCTTCAGTGTGCTTTAAGCTTTGTTTTTTTTAAATGTTAACTTTGTGAGGCAGGATGTTGAATCCATAAATCATGGAAGGAATGAAAAACAGGATGGACAAAAAGCAAAATAAAGGACTCCCATTTTGTGGTTAAGTTAGTTTCCAACTTTTGCTTCATGCCTTCATCTAAAACTTCATTTAGTTTATCTGGCTCCTCTTAAAGAGGATGTGTCAGGGAACTGTTTCCAATAACATTAACCTTTGGTACAGGAAAAATGCATCCCCTTTTCACTGTACTAGTGTCAATAAATTCAAGCCAAGTAGAGTAGCATATTTTTGCTTATTAAGAAGCTTGTAGTGCTAATTTCAAGATTGTACAATTCAAACTTTTAGTACAAAGCAGCGTCTTTAAAATAATACACACAATATTTAAATAAGTACAACCACCGTGATAAATATTAAATATTGTAGTGGTTAAAATGTAAGAATGACACGCTTCTGCACAGGCCAGGTATCTATGTGTGTGAGTGCATTAGCTGTTTTAGTGCTTCTCAGAATAAAAGGGTGTTTTCAGTCTTTTCAAAATTTGCCAGCTGTGCACAAGCGTGTCTGGGAAAACATGTAAAAACACTCAAATGGTAATAAAAAGGTGCAAGTACAAAGGTTTGCATATTTAAAAAAAGAGCCGAGTCTGTTGAGGCCTCAGGAGAAGAGCAGTTTCTGGAGCCCTGAGGATGTTATCAAAGCTAGAAGTTCAGAGTGGACAGCCACATCTACGCTGAAAATCACTTTCCTCTATTCCTCTAACCTTTCAACAACTTACTCTGGTTTTTGTGCTACTACTACACCTGACATTCATTGCTCCTACAAATGTACTCTAAAACTCTGAAAGAGACATTCAAAAACACATCTAAAGCTGCCACTTCTATCCATTCTAGCTCTGCACATCTCCTCAGGCCAAATGTAGAATGTGGAGAAGCTGGCAACCAGAGAGAGGCGAGCGCAGCTCCTCTGGCAGTACTGTGTAATGTACTATAGGTGTAGCGGACTGGAGAGAATTGTATGAGTGGTTGTGTGTGAGGGTGGGTGGGGTTTGCAACATCATGCATTGGCCAGTTCCTCAGCTTCATCTCTGTTTTCATTGATCTCAGCCAGCGTCCTGACGAAGCGGGTCCACTCATCCGCTTTGGGAACACAGATTTGCTGCAGGAAGACGGATGCATGTAAACGGAGGGGTTTGAGGGGGGGATTTGTGGCATTACATGAAAACACAAAAGGAGCTGACATCTCACCTCGCCAACATCGTAGACCTGAACCTGTCCCTCTGAGTCCCCAGTGGCAATCTCCTTTCCAGTGTGAGACCATCTGACACGGTTCAGTGCCGGAGCCCCATCCACATACACACTAGCAGTTGGAACCTAAAATACACACAAGAGCTTACCGAGAAGCAGATGCATACATGCTCGGTGTGCTCAGGTACGCTTTGGATTCTCTGTCAAATCCGAAGTCAATTCTGTAACTCAGGTAAAAAACTAGGCATACTTCAGTATCATTGTTGAGGTTCCACAAGTCCAGACGTCCAGCTAGGTCCACACAAGCAAACAGGGCAGGGTGTGTTGGAGACCACATCGCATCGTAGACGTAGTCACAGCTGTCCTCAAAAGAGTATAGTGGACGGGTACTCTACAAGGGAAAGCGTGGGTGGAAGTGGCAGAGAGAAACAATAGATTTATGTATGGAAACTGTTCTAATCTTGACTCATGCTAAAAGTGACTGATTCAGTCTCACCTTAGTGCTCCAGAGTTTGACGGTCCAGTCAAACGAGGACGAGATGAAGAGGTGAGAGAAATCGACAGGTCCTCCAGCACTGTGGCAGCTCAGTCCAGTAACCGGACCATGGTGGCCTTCAAACACTTCAGTGATGCCTGCCTTACTGTAACACACACAGGACAGCTCTGCTACCTGACCTTTTAACCCCAACATTGAGCGCTTTAACACTCACTTAAATGTGTACAGAGACTTTATATTTGATTATAGTAGAAATACAGGCATTTTACAGGGTCTTACCTGCCATGGCGACAGGCGGTGTAGACAGAACCGTCTTCGCTCCCTACCACAAAATTGTTAACGTCACCCAGAGGAAACGCCATGGAGGTGACAGCCACCGCTTTGCTCTGTTTGAACACCAGCTCCAGACTGTCCTGCAGGGAAAATGCACAAAGTCTCAGACAAAACAGCAAAAAAGGTCATTGACGTTATGTCTGCATGTCTGTACATGCGTCCATACATCTCGTGTACCTGTGGCTGGGAGAGCATGTCCAGGCTCCAGGAGCACATCTTGCCATCAGTGGAAATGCTGATCAGGTTGTTGGCATTTTGGGTTCCCACTACATTCACGCAGTAGACTGGGTGCTGCACACAGTGGTGCACAGTTCATAGATTAAAAAGATGCAGGAAAAGAAAAGTGTGTGTAGACAATGAAGGATTGTGTGGTCCAGTGCATTACTGTGTGTGCAGCTGCAGACAGGGGAGTCCTCTGCACAGGGGTGCGCTTGTTGCTCCTGTTGTCCCATAATACTATCTGTCCCGAGTATGTCCCACCCACCACAAGGTTGGGGTGAAACTTTGCAAAGCCGGCTGACATCACTTCAGACTGGGGAGAGACAACAGTAATGTCTTAAGTATTTCTTATTCCAAGTGGAAAGAAGAGGAGCTTTCTGTACTTGAAATGCGTCTTTTACCTGGCAGTGGAAGATGTATTCAGGGGTGGGCTTCTTATACTTCATGTTCCAGACCAGTGCCACACCATCAGGCTCATGTGGAGCGTCTTCATTGTTGTTATATGAGGCCACCAGCAGCTCTGGATACTAAGAGAAATATAGCAGTCATTAGTAAGAGCAGACAAGGAGCAATGGTGCCTAGTAAGATTCATTCAGTAGCACTAATCTAATTAGTAGTCAATCTCCATACACATAATTACAGTTCCTGAATTTTAGTTAGCTGTTACTTGTTAGATGTGAACCTCTGTGTGTGTGCCTGAATAACCCTGAATTTCCACTGAGGGTGCTGTTATGGACACATGAGCCTTCCTACCTGAGGAGACCAGTCGAGACAGGTGACCACTCTGTTTTTAGTCCAACGCTCATCTGCAAACTGTCTGTTCAGAACCAGCTTTGCCCCAGCCTGCAAGTCACTGAAAAGGGACACAAAGAAATGAAATCACTTCATTTCTATTTACAGCATTGACACTTTCTTCTGTCATGTGCCTCACCCCTCCTTGTCCTCTAGATCTCTGCCGCTGTAGTCGAAGCAGACATCCACATGCTCAGCCAGAGCTCTCTCCACAATTCTGCTGCCGCGCTCAAAAAATGATAAGAAATCATCCGAGTGAAGCAACTGCAGCTTCTCTTCCTCGGTCAGCTCCTTGGGGGCGTCTATGTGGAAATAAAGGAAGAGGAGTAAATGCTGATCATTAATGCAGATGTCTTACTTGCCATTTTAAAATTGTTAGGAAATACTGGAAAGAATAGAAAAAGGCACTAAAACCATAAAAGTTTAACTCTTTCCCCCCATAAGGACGATATCTGATGACGTTCCCTGTACACATGATGATATCTCAACAAAGATTTGCCTTGATGATCATTTCCAGGTTTTTCCAGGGATAGCTGCATAGGCAGAGACCATCCTCAATAACTTCTAATGCAAACTCAGCCGTTTTGTTCTATAAGCAGACCTGATATATGACAGAAACTGCTCAGTTCAGAAAAGAGCTTCAAGGGTTATGTCCAGTAGGCTTTGTATTTTTTCCATTAGCAGCGTTAACAGCCAGCTCACACAAAGCTTACATTCTACAAATGTCTTTCCTTACCTTCCTGCTGCTGTTCACCCTGCTCATCTTTGTCCTCCTGGTTGTCCTCTGCTGGTGGAGGAGCAGTTATCTCCTCATCCTCTTCCTCATCTGCAAAACACAGATTCACATTCTTTTTTTTCTCCCACCACTCAGTTTTGATTTAGCTGGGGTGAAAGTTTGGGAAAGTGTTTCTTTACCTGCTTTTTGATCGGTGTGTGTCATTGCCTCCGTGGGTGTCTGCGTTTCTTTGGAGTAGGACACCATTTCCTTTGGCAGAAAGTCCACCTGGGTCACTTTGGACATGCCCAGCCTCACGGCTCCACGTCTACACGTACATTGCGGAAATAAGCAGATGCATGCACGGGTTTGCAGTATGAAACAAAAGTGAATGGCAATTTCTTTCATGTACAGACATAAATAGTGATATATGCATGGACATATTTGGACAAATCTAAGATGAAACCACAACAAAAAAGCACAATAAAAGTTGGAAGACAAGCTAAAGGAGAGAGGAGGTGCAGTACCCCATCAGCTCAGAGTCGGAGTGGAGTTGCAGAGTAGAGGGGTCAGGATCCCAATGCAATGTCCTTATACAGCCAAACCACCAGATATCGTTAGTAAGTGACAGAGAGAGAAAGGAGCAGGAAAACCGGAGAATGAAACAAAACACAGAAGACAGACAAAAGGTGAGCCATATAAGAGATGTTAAAGATGGGAGATATGGCAAAAGGAAAGCAAGAAAGACAGAGAAAAGTGCGTGTTAATTAAGAAACATCAGCGTGCTGGTGAAAAGGCAAAGAGCAGACAGGTCAGAATTCATCAAAGTAGAATAAACTTGTTAATACACACACCCACACACACACTTAGCATGCACTTAATGCACACCTAACTGACTAAATCACATAAGAAAGAATGAGAATAAGCAACCAATCCCCATCTCTCTCGCTCTCTCTGACCTTGGTCCTGCGTTTCCATCGCCAGAATCTTGACTTCCTGCATCGCTGCCGACAGATTTGTTGGAGGGAGACATTGGGGCAGGG